ACTGAATTTCACAATAGAACTGAAACTGATAGAATTGAAATCCAAGAATATAATTGGAGATTTCAATACTCTTCTCAGTAATTGATAAAACAAGTACAAAGAAAATCAGTAAGAATATAGGAGACTTCAAATAACACTATCAATCAACTTTATACATTTGATATCTACAGATTAATCCACACAATAACAGCAGAATATACATTCTTCCCAAGTGCAAATGGAGCATTTACCAAACTAGACCATATACTGGGTCATAAAATATGTCTCAACAAATTTAAGAGCACTGAAATTATACAAAGTATGCTCTTTGATCAAAAATAAAGTAAACTAGAAATCTATAAGAGAAGTATATCTACAAATTTTTCTAAATATTTGAGAAGTAAACAATACACTTCTAAGTAACCCATAGGTCAAAGAAGAAAACACAAAAGTAATTTGAAAATATTGAATTAAATGCAAATAAAAACAAGACATCAAAATTTGTGTACTGAAGCTGAAGGAATACTTAGGAGATAATTTCTTTTCTTTCGTTCTTTCTTTTTTTGGGGGGACAGACTCTTACTCTGTCACCCCGGCTTGAGTGCAGTGGCATCATCATAGCTCACTGCAGCCTCAAACTTCTGGGCTCATGGGCTCAAGCGATCCTCCTGCCTCAGTCTCCCGAGTAGCTGGGACTACAGGCCTGCACCAAGATACCGGCTAATTTTTCTATTTTTGCTGGAGACAGGGTCTTGCTCTTGCCCAGGCTGGTATCGAACTCCTGAGCTCAAGCAATCCTCCTGTCCTGGCCTCCCAGAGTGCTAGGATTATAGGCGTGAGCCACCCACGGTACCTGGCCTTAGAAGATAATTTCTAAGATTAAAATGCTCATATTAGAAAAGATGAAAATTTCAAATAAATTATCTAAGTTTCCACCTACAGACACTAACAAAAGAATAACAAATAAAACGTAAATAGAAGAAAGAAAATAACAAAGATAAAGGTGGATATCAATGAGACAGCTGGAAATTAGCCAGGCACCTCTATTGAAATTGTCTCAGGTCTTCTTCACGTGGTCTCTGGTCCATATAAGCATTGTTTGGACTTCCTCACAGCATGGAAGCCTCAGGGTAGCTGGACTTCTTACACAGCAACTAACCAAGGAGATGAAGTCTGCATCATCCTTTATGACCTAGCCTCAGAAGTCACAAGGGGACACTAATGCCACATTCTATTGGTTATAATCAACTCACAAGCTTACCCAGATGCAAGGGGAGGAGAATTAGAAGTCATTGCTTAATAAGGCAGTGTTAGGGTTCTATTAATTTAAAAAATGTGGTAAAGAAGATATTGTGGTAGGCATCTTTGAACAACGTAATCCACACCATAGATCCAGGTTGACATATAGTATCATTTTTCTTTAACTTGAAAAACTATGTTTTATATTAATATTTGTTGTGGTTCAGATCTTCTGGTGACAAATTCTCTCAACTTCTGTTTATTTAAAAATGTCTTTATTTTACTTTTATTTTTGAAGGATATTTTCACAAGAAAGTTTTTGGTTGGCAGATTTGGTTTTTTTTTCTTTTAGCACTTTAAAGACATTGTTCTACTGCCTTCTAGTTTGTACTGTTTCTGATAAGAAATGGACAGTGGCTCTTATTGGTCTTCATTTTGTATTATGCCCTTTCTTTTTGGATGCTTTAAAATTTTTCTCTTAATTGTTGTTGTTTAGCAATCTAACTATATAATGTGCCTCAGTGTGGTTTTCTTTGTGTTTATCCTGCTAAAGTTTGTTGAGCTTTTGGAATCAGTGGGTTAATACTGCTTCTCAAACCTTTAAAACTTTCAGCTACAGTCATGCATTATGTCTACCTTATCTTTTAAATTACTGAATATATTATATTAAATTTTCTAAAGCTCCTATCTGTAATTTACAACACATTTGTTATCAGTGGGTCTCTTTCTATTGCCTATTTTTTCTTCTGTTATAGATCACATTTTCCTGTTTCTCTTCATGTCAAATTATCACTCTGTGCTATAAAATTACGGATACTGTGGTTGAGAGTGTGGAATTTGTCTTCCTCTTCAAAGACTGTTGAGTTTTGTTTAGAAGGCATGTATTATAATACATTGGCAGAGTAGCTGTATCTTGTCAAGTCTTTTTTTTTTCTTTTTCTTTTATTTCAGCATATTATGGGGGTACAGATGTTTAGGTTACGTATGTTGCCCTTATTAGGCTTTGTTAGGGTGGGTGAAGAGTAGCTCTTGGGGATACTATACAAAATATGTAAGAAACTCAAACAATTAAATAGTAAAAAAAGAAATAATTAAATTTAGAAATGGGCAAAGGAATCAAATAGATATTTCTAAAAAGAAGACATAGAAATGGCCAACAGGAATATGAAAAAATTCTCAAAATCATCAGGGAAATGCAAATTTAAACCACAATGAGATATCATCTCACACCTGTTAGGATGGCTATTATCAAAAAGACAAAGATAACAAGTCCTGGCAAGGATGTGGAAAAATGAAACCCTTGTGCATTGTTGGTGGAAATGTTAATAAGTACAGCCATTATATAAGAGTATGGAAATTCCTCAAAAAATTAAAAATAGAACCACCATATGATTCAGCAATGCCACTACTGGGTATATATTCAGAGGGAATGAAATCAGTGTGTCAAAGAGATATCTGCATTGTTCATTGAAGTATTATTCACAATAGCCAAGATATGGAATCGACCTAAGTATTCATCAATTGATAAATGGATAAAGAAAATGTGATATATATATACAATGAAATATAGAATATTATTCAGCCTTAAAGAAGAAAGAAATCCTGTCATTTGCAACAATGTGGATGAACCTGGAGGACATTATGGTAGGTGAAAAAAGCCAGGTACAGGAAGACAAATACTGCATAATCTCACTTATATGTGGAATCTAAAAATGTTGAATTCATAGAAGTAGAGAGTAGAATGGTGGTTACCAGGGCATGGGGGTGAGGTTGGGAGATGTTGATCAAAGGATACAAAATTTTAGTTAGATAGGAGAAATCAGTACAAGAGATCTATTATATAACATGATGACTATAGTTAATAACGATGTATTAAATGGCTGAAAATTGCCAAGAAAGGAAATTTTAAGTGTGTTTCACCACAAAAAGTATGTTAAGTAATACATGCATTAATTAGATCATTTTATCTATTTTGTAATACATACATATTTCAAAACAACATGGTGTATATTATAAATATATACAATTACGAAAAAAAAAAGAGTAGCTCTTACTTGAGAGCTTGAGTAGTATTCTTAAGACCTAATCTTCCAGAGTTTTACTGAATGCACAAGATGTTTAACTGGTATCTTCACTCTGGTTGGTCAGAATTGCAATATCTACTAGTACTCAGTGACCTTTGACATCCTCATCCATCTCACAGACCTCCAGCAGCTATTCTCTGCCAGTCCTCACAGAACTTCACCCTACATATGGCTACTAAACATTTGAACAAGGCCTCAACGGCTCTCCAATGCCAATTTCTAAAGCTACTTTTCTGAAACAGCTCCCTGCTCTCTGGTACATTGCCCAAAATATAAGGCATATATGCTAATCTCTGTTGTTGTTGTTTTCCTGTGTGAAAACACTGCCTTTTTTTTGGTCTCTATTTCGCTGCATTGCTATTTAGAAAATATCCCCAGAGAGAAAGCCAGGGAGAGTGTGGAGTTTACCTTTTATGTTTCCCTTCTCTGAAAGATCACAGCCTTGTGCTGTGTGCTGTCCAATGCATGAAAGGACTTGCTTCATACAGTTTATCCAATTTTACAGCTGTTTTTGGTAAAAGGGTGATTTTGATACCTTTTACTCTGTGATGGTTAGAAATGGAAATACCTATTAGTATCTGTTTAAATTAAATACAGCATGGCCAATAAAACCTTAATTTCCAGCCATCAAAGGTCAAGCAAGGAAAACCAGTAAGTAGTTAAAGTAAAAAGGTGCGGCAGGGGTGTCATCAGACAGACTCATGTAATTTTCCACTATTTCAATTTTTTTATCAGAAAAAAAATTACAGAAGTCACATCATTTTCTGTTCATTTTCATTTCTCATTGACAGCACAGTGAACACACAACACTCTTCATTCCTTCCTAACCAACGCCTAATTTTGTGTTCAACCCCAGGTGGACGATTCACAATGAGTCAACTATGCCAATATTGATGCTCTTCTTTTAGTTTACCAGACATTCAATCTCCCAGCCTCCCTTAGAGCTATAAGTGACCATGTGGCTGTGTTTTGATCAATGAGACAAACAGGGAAGTTTGCTGTGGATCTCCTAAAATGGTTTTTATTTTCTTAATAAAAGGAATAGGTGAGGCTTGCCCCTTTTCTTGTCTTGAATGTGGGTCTCTTCTGACTATAATACATATGAGAATCAAAAGTCCACACTCTACAGCAAAAGAGAAGAAACAAAAGAGCCTGGGTCCATAATGACACCACTGAGCAACTAAATCAATACAATAACTGACTAACTCTGAGAAAAATAAAACTTATTTGCTTGAAGTTGTGTAAAGTTTTCTGTTTTCCATAATAGAAAGCATTTCTAACTGATTAATGCACACACCATTTGTTCTTAAAACTAAGAAGAGTTTGCAGATAAGATGTAGTTTGTTTTAAAATAGAATATTAAAAGAAAGTAGTTGGGAATCGCATTTTTTTAAAGTTTTTGGGCCAATCAGGTTTGCTTTGGTATCTATAAAATGCATGCCTGCCTTATATTCCCCTTTAGATTGCAAACTTCCTGTGGCCAGGGATCTTCTCTAAATATGGGTCTAAGGACTTTTGGGTGCTTGAATTAGCTTCCAGATATACTCTAATTCTAGATGTCCTATAAGTTATCTCTGTCATCTAGGTATTCTTTGACTCCATCGGGAACAAGGGTTCTACAGACCTAAAACCTTTTTTCCCCACAGAAATGAGAATGCAGGTGAGACAAACAAGCAAAGGAATGGTTCACTGTCTTACGTTCACATTCTCTGACATCCAAGTTGAACTGCTGTAATGCTCCCAAGGTGAGCTGTCTTACTTCAGCTTCCAGCAAAAGTTGCATCAAGGATGTGGCTAAATGCTTGCAAGCAGACATACATGCTGTCTGAGCCACCTTTCCCTGAAATACAAGAGTGTAAATGATAAAGTTAATGAATATAATGAAATTCCAACAAAAATTAAGATACCTTCTTTTTTAATAAGGAATTTCTCTAAGGCTCTCCCCACCATGATACCCTTGCATTCAGATAATCTTGGAATTAAATTTTAGCTCCATCGCCATCAGTCATGATAGCTATAACACTAAGCTGATATTCACATAGCCCAGCTATTTAATCAATAAGCACTTTTTTCCTCCTAAATTGAAAGTAGATACACAATACTTAAAATCTTAAGTACACTGAGAAAGAATATTTTACAGAGAATAAATTTCAGATTCCCTTTCAAATATAATTCTTAAAAAGCAAATGCAAACAATACTCCCTCAATTATCTATAAACCAGTGTTTACTGCTTATGATTTAATGCATATAAAATGAAAAGAATGATTTAAACAAAAGTCACCTGAAAAAAAAATTGAAAGCATAAATTTTATTTTCTTAGAAAATACTGAGATTTATGAATATAAACTCTAATTTTTAAAATATGGATTTTAAAATTAATATTGTACTGTCTCTGTAAAGGATTTAAAGTACTTTACATGTAGGGAATTACACCTTAGTCCCAAGTCAAAGTTACACATCACAGAAGATACACCTATTTTTTCCCAGGTATACAGTATATCAATTTTATTCCCATGTTATTTATCATCCATTCTAAAAGAATGATATATGTTTTTAAAAACCTGAACTCAAATTAGTGAATTATCCTTCCTTTGAAATTATGAAATATTTCAGCCATATAAAAAGACATAGAATCATATTATGAACACTTATGGATCCAATAAACATTACAAATACAGTTTAAGCCCCTATGTGATATCCTTAATTATTTTCCTCCCTCTCCCCAGAGATGACCATTATTGGTATTAGGTATTCCACTTGCATTTTAAAAGCACTGATATGATAGTATATAACCAGAAACAATATATTGTATTATTGTTCATAGTTTGAAACTTTCTATGATATGATAGGAAATGTGACCTTCTGCAACTTCCTTTTTCAGTTCAATATTATAAAGGTGAAGATTTTTTAATGTAAGGCATATAGCTGTACTTTATTCCTTGAATTGTTTTATGGTATTCCTTTTTGGAAATATACCACAACTTATTTGGCCATTCTTCTATAGTTGGAGATTTAGGTTGTTTGTTTTTCTTTTTTTTATTTGGCTATTATAAACAAAGTAAATCACAGAATTATATGTTATATAGGTCTATTAAGAGATCATGAAAATGCAAGATTATGTATACAGTATCCCTTTTATGTATTTTTTCATGTTTCACTGGGCCAGGACCTTCCACAAAAGTAGTAGGCTTTCAATGGAAAAAAACATAAATAAATAATACCATGATAAAATTTTCAATTTGCATCTTTTTAAATATACCTTGGATAATTTATTTAGGATTATTTCTCAAACCTACCAGGATGTAGTGTATCAATACTGAGATTCATAATGCATATGCTTATATATGAAGAGAAACACAGGTAGAAGCCAGACTCCCAAGTATCTAAATTTTATAAATTTTTATTTCTTTGACAAAATTTTATTTTATAGTATAAAAATAACAACAATGACCTATTTTAGTATACATACTATAAATATTCTTCATCAGTTTGTATTTTCTGATAATCCATACTCTGGATGATTTAAGACAACAAATGGGAATGCTTAAGTTAGGGAGTAATTTAGAGACCAAGTGGGAAAGAGGCAATGGAGGCATGAAGAATCCTAAAGAGAAAAGTGACATTATAAAAGAAATCCACATTAAATGGCTTGGTTTCAACTAAACCCACTGGAGACCCAAGACAGGTACCTCCAAGGAGCAATAGGGTTCAACATAATTGTCAGACTATGCCCAGTGTGAACTCCCAGAAGGCACAGATCAAATATTAAATAGCTTATTAACTTTAATATTAACATGAAACATGGACTTAATTTTCAAGTCTACATTAATCAATAGAGCCAAAGATATATATGTTATGTTACTCTGACATACTGGGTTATTTAATTGCCTTCCAATTACTTTCCACCCTAATTTCCCTCAAGCGAATTCTTTATTTCCAAACAAAGCTATAATGGCAGAAATGTATGTTTTCAGTGTTAAATAGTTTCCTAATTTTGGACAGCATTTTGGATCTTTGCTAATTCATAGTCTACTCTCCATTCTCTTCCTCATTTCTGGTTTCCATTACCATGCTATCCATAGGCTTTCTAGAAAAAGATAAATACAGACTCAGGCAATAACAACCAATCACCAAGCAATAAAAATTGGTGATTTTACCTTTTTAAGCAAGTAATCAAATATGGGGCAGACCCTCTCTAGGAGCTCACAGGCAAAATCTATAGGTTGAGGTAAGAATTCAGAACATAAGAAAACTAACTTAACCAAATGTCCTATAAAACTGCCTTTGAATACCTCTAGGAACAGTTTCAAATCAGCCATAATCTCACATAGGCTATATCTTATGAAGCTATGTAAGTACCAGGGCACACAGACTGCACAAGAATGAAGACAGAATGTCAGACAAGAGGAAAAATGAGTTAAATATCATCACCATATTTTGAACATATGAAGAACCTGTGATGCAGAGAGATTTGGGACACAAGATCTTACAACTAGCTCTACAGGCCATGTCATGCTGTCTATGAATGCATTTATAATATTTATATAAGCCAAGATGGTCAATAAATATCAACCACATGAACTGAAAGTCAAGTACCAAAGCACTTATATAGTTCATACTATTTCTCAATCCAGTCACAAAATCTCTTGTAAGTTTTGGAAAGGGCAAAGGAGTAAACTCATGAGAAAATTCATGATGTCAATTCAAAGCCAGGCTATTACCATAGTGAGAACATAATGAGGCATGAGTTAAAATTCATAAAAATTCTTCTTTTATTTTTACCATGTAACTCGTTGGTAACCAAATCAACTCATTTCCCTTAAAATATACCCCCGATTCATATACACTAATTTTAATTACCCCTTTTACTTCCTACTTTCTCCCTGTTTTTACTGTTCTACATATTCAACTTGTACCATAACACTTTGCACTGGATGATACAATGCACTGTCACTTTATGCATGTACACTACCTTAAAAAGTACATGGTTTGCTCTTGAGAAAAACAAAAATGGAAATATACTAAAACTTATGGGATACATAAACAGCAGTTTTAAGAGGAAAGTTTATAGTAATAAATGTCTACATCGAAAAAGAGGAAAGATCCCAAATAAACAACCTAATGCTACACATCAAGGAACTAGAAAAAGAAGACTATCCTAAATCCAAACTGAGTAGAAAGAAGGAAATAATAAAGATCAGAGCATATATAAATAATATAAAGACTAGAAAAACAATAGAAAAGATCAATAAAACTAATACTTGGGTTTTTGAAAAGATGAACAAAATTGACAAACTTTTAGCTAGACCAAGAAAAAAGAGAGAAGACTCAAATAAATAAAATCAAAAATGAAAGAGGAGACATTACAATTAATGATACGGAAATGCAAAGGATCATTAGAGACTACTATAAGCAATTACACACAACAAACTGGATAACCTTGAAGAAATGAATAAATTTCTAGACATAAAAACTACCAAGATTGAATCATGAATAAAAATGAGTAAATAGATTAAATCAGTAATCAAAAACCTCCCATCAAAGAAAAGCCTGGAATCTGATGGTTTCACTGATGAATCTTCTAAACATGTAAGGAAGAACTAATGCCAATTTTTCTCAAGCTCTTCCAAAAAATTGAAGAGAGGGAACATTTTCAAACTTTTTTGGAAGGCCAGCATTACACTGACACCAAAGCCAGATAAGAACAATAAAAAAAAGGAAATTATGGGCCAATATACCTAAAAAAAACACAGATGCAAAACTCTGAAACAAAATACTGGCAAACTGAATTCGACAGCACATTAAAAAGATCATTCACCATGAGCAAGTGGGATTTATCCCTGTGATGTAAGGATGGTTCATCATATGTAAATCAATAATTATGATACACCATATTAACAGAATGAAGGATAAAAACTATATGATCTGGGGTGGGAATTGACAGGTAAAAAAATAATAATAATAATAATAATAAAAACCTATATGATCATCTCAATAGATGCAGAAAAGGCATTTGACAAAATTCAACATGCTCTCATGATAAAAAACTCTCAACAAATTAGGTATGGAAAGAATGTACCTTAACACATTAAAAGCCATATATGACAAACCCATAGCTAACATCATACTCAATAAAGAAAAGCTTAAAGCTTTTCCTTTAAAGTCAGGAACAAGACAAGGGTGCCCACTCTTGCCATTTCTATTCAACATAGTTTTGGAAACCCAAGGACTCCACCAGAAACTGTTAGAAATAATAAAAAAAATTCAGTAAGCTTGCAGGATACAAAATAAACATACAAAAATCAGTTATGTTTCTATATACTAACAACAAACTCTGTAAAAGAAATCAACAAAACAATCTCACTTATAATAAATCCAAAAAAAAAATCTTAGGAATAAATTTAGCAGAAGAGGTGAAATATCTGAAATACATGTACACTGAAAAGTACACTGTGAAATATCTGAAATACATGTACACTGAAAGAAATTTTAGAAGACACAAATAAATGGAAAGATAACCCATGTTCATGGACTGAAGGAATTAATGTTATTAAAATGTCCATACTACCCAAAGCAATCTACAAATTCAGTGTAATCCCTATCAAAATTCCAATGACAGTTTTCAACAAAATAGAATAAACAATCCTAAAATTCATATGAAACTACAGAAGAAAATAGCCAAAGCAATCTTAAGCAAATAAAACCCCAAAGCTGGAGGCATGACACTACCTAATTTCAAAATCTACTACAAAGCTATAGTAATCGAAACAGTATGGTACTGGCTTAAAAACAGATACATAGACCAATGTAACAGAATAGAGAGCCCACAAACAAATCCA